CGAAGATAGCTGCGGTTTACGTGGTATTATAATCGAGATCCAAGGCGACCGTTAACTGGACACACAATGATGATTGTGCGTAGTATTTACAGAGGCTGGATTGTACTGGGAATTGCTGTGATATTATTCGTGTTGTTCTCGGGAATTGAGACGGCTTGGGGGACAACAATACTGTGTTTGCAACAGGACGAAGACTTTTTAAATGCGTCACTTGCACTGTTAGGTAAGAAACCTTTTTTCGAATACAAATATAAATAAATAAACAAACAAACGAAAAATGTAAAATCCAGATTCAGTTTATATGAACAAGATATAGTAAGCAGAAACCTTCAACTTATCACGGTTATTGTTACTGTCGCAGAGTGAACCAAGCATAATAAAAACAGCCACAGTAGCAACTTCGCAACTTTCAAAATAAGCCACGAATTACCGTCGGAAGATGTGTAGAATGAATACTTCTGTATTTTTTTTTCAGGTGTTCCTCTAGCATTGTATTATTTCTCTCATTTTTCTGTGAGTAACTTTATCTAAAAGGCGCTATCAAGAGTCGGACACTTGAGTCTACGGCAGGTGGCAGCTCTCGGAATATCTCTTATGGTGCTCGGCCTGTTTCTGACATCTTTTGCAAATAGCGCCTACTCTGTGACCATATCGTATGGAATTATATCTGGAAGTGACAACGGACTATTTTCTTTAAGTATGTATTTGGTGATAGCACGTTGGTTCCCATGGACACACGACTACCACGTGTTTACAACAAGTGCATTAAGTGCTATCTTGCCCCTTGGTAAGTCCCTTTTTTTTCTCTTGCTGCTGCCCTTGCCAAAATAACGTACCACATTAAAGTTTATAAGAAACAAACATGTAAGAAATTTATACGTAAAACCAATGTTAGTCAAAAAAAATGATAGAAGACGTTTAGATAACTTATTTTATAGGCTAAGATTTTTCAATTTCTACACTTAGGTCCAATTTAAATTACACCTAATAATGATTTCGACCACTACTGTGACCTTCTTCAGTGTGTCTTATTCTGAGATTAANTTGGGAAGGCCTGTATAGGGTGGAATTTGAAGAAATTCTCAAACTGGGTGAGAAAATTCAACACCAAGAACAAATTTCTCGCAGTAAAAATGTAAAAAACGCTGCTAATTATTCACCATCAACATATTCTAAATTAAAATCTTGTTCAAAATCACATTTTCACTCAGCTATTGACCCAAAATCTTTCACATCGCAGCCAGCCACTTTAGCCTCTGAATACGACATTTTTGCTCTGCCTATTGAGAGGCTGCGTGCCAATAACAGAGATAAAAAAGTAACATCTGTGCATGCAAAGTCTCCAGGCCGCGTCATGAACCCTGATACTGTTACTTCCTTGCCGAATGGTAAGGACAGTAGTCGGCACTTTGCTCCGTCTGTCCATAAGGGTGATGTGAATTGTGATCTGTATCAGTTTCATGTTCCTAAACCCGGACGGCGGCAACGACATGTTGCGCAAAATTTTGCCGATACAGTTCAACAAAATCATGAATACCGGTCTAGTTCAATAGGAAAACATTATACGCGCCCTAGAATCTCGTCTCCCGTTTTCTGTGACGAACCACTAATTTATGAAAGGGATAACAGTGAAAAAGAATACTTTTGGCTACCCAAACCAAAAAGAGGAGGTCCAAAAAGCAAAAAGGGCGGAGAAGACCCCAGTGATTTACCTAAACAATTATCGTTTAACGGAAACAGTGACGACTGGGAGTCTTTCAGAAAAAGATATGAAAGTTATCGCCAGATAAAAGAGTAGTCAGAAATCGAGTGTCTGGACTACCTTCTGTGGTGTCTTGAAGGCGAGGCTTTGGCACTGTATAATAGCCATCTCAGAGCAAATAAAAATGTGTCGTACACATCTATAATAAAAGAAATGGACTTAGTGTTCGGGATTAAAAAACATCCCGATTCGGCTCGCCTGGCATTTCATACTGCCGTTCAATCGCAAAACGAAACCAATGGCTGTGCCGCGTTTTGTTATTGGTTAGAGATGCTTATCCTGATAAATCCGAGTCTTTTAGGACAAAAGAAACAATATCAAAATTTTGTCAAGGCTGTATTGATCAGGATGCTGAGCGTTATACTAGTTTAAAGCACCCAGCAAGCATCAGCGACGCAATAACACATATGGTGGACTATCAACATGTTTGTAAACCCACGAATAGTCAAATACAAACAAGAAAAATACAGCGGTCGATGCAGCATGTATTTCAAAACAAGTTGTCTGCAAATTAACCATGATTTTGCACCTTCAAGTTCCGTGACACGTTTTCATATCATGTGCCTATTGTTTCTACAAGTATTCTCTGCCCCAAATGCATAAAGATAAAATGTTATCTTACCGTGTTGTTAGAATAACTGCTTTTTTCTCCAAGCCCACGTCTTCATTCCCATTCACCTCCAGCTAAAAATGACCACTCAGCTTTACGTCTTACACCAATGCACGTCACTTCCGGCACAATTCTGACCAATGATGATCTTCTGCGGTACCCTTATTGCTGCAAATGTATACTTCAGGGACACCAGCACCCTGGCCAGTCCTAACGAATAATATCCATAGCTGAATATTTATCTTATTTTCATCACATCAAAGTGGTATTTCTCTTTCGCAGGTTTCTATTTTTAAATAAAATTAAAATATTGAGTTAAATAGACTGCAAAACCAATGTGTATTAAATTATTTAAAATGATTTATTTTATTCGGTCACGGCAGACTAGTGTATTGTACACATGGATCAGCTTTTGATGTGACCTAAACCACTTGAGGCGACCATAATCTCGAGCATCACATCTATTGTCACCAAAGTTACTAAATAAGTCACGGAATACCGTCACAGACAAAGAAAGATTGTCAACGAGTGCTGCTTTTTTGGTAAGTCATCGGCTTCGCCTCGCCAATTATCTGCACCATTTCGCGTAAAGCTCAGCGCCTTGTACTTTATCTATGCCATCTAAACCACCTGTAGTGACCATTATCTCAAGCATCGCAACTATTGTCACCGAAGTAAGTCACGAACGACCGTCACAGACAAAGAAAAGATTGTCAACGAGTGCTGCAATTTTGGTGAATCCCACGGCAAACACTGAACGAACATTGCCCAACCTCGTTCAACACAACTTCCCTAAACTTCTCTGTCTGCATTCAGCTTGCAGCGCAGTTGAGTCTCATATGCCTTTATCCTCATTGTCATCACAGTACCACGTGACACAGATCTGTTGCTTCATTTATGAATATTAAGGTGAGGTTTACTAAAACGCTTTTTTTTCTACTAATAGATTATTTTTACGATTTTTAAATGGCGGAGATCGATTAAAACGTACCTCTAGTGTATAGATTGAGTGCTGAATCTTAAGAATTCGAGAAATGGATTTTTATGTGTCTCGAATCCTTTAAGTCTTATTATTTCCATTTGTCTCTTTTAATCTCTTCCATCAAAAACAAGTCGCCACACCTTGGATAATTTCGTTAAAAGCTACTCTTACAACCGGTCGTGCGTGCTTCTACGAGCGGTTTGCGTGCAAAAAATTGGCCAAGTAGTAAGATACACGCACGTGGAACCTACTGTTTTTGGTGGACGCAAACACGACGCAAAGCACGCAGCCCGAAAACAGGCCAGCTAGTTTTTCGCTACGACCTGTCTGCGACAATTAGAACGCCTGGAGCACGCTCGTAGCACGCAAGACAAAAGTACTGAGTAAGTGCGCTAGGCGTGCGTGTAACGCCGGAAAAGCATGCAGAAATTCCGGGGTATTTTACCACGAAGACGTACTTATCACGCAAGAGACTCGTACGTTCAACTTGCTTTCAATGTACGTGTTAACGAAAAGGGGGGTGAGCGCACTTCCTCCGTGCGTTTATCTCATTTTCAAAGTACGTGGCGAGTACTACTACCATACCTGTGAAGTGCGTCACACTAAGACGACGCACGTGCCCAGCACGATAAAAGTGCAGGCGATCCCGAGCAACCACTGCAAGCATTGCGTCACGATCTTCGGCCTCCTCTAGCATTAGCAGCTGTAGAAGTCGATGGCGCATCCTTCTTGGAAGTGCCATTTTGCAAGCCAAGACAGTGAATGATGAAGAGAGTCGGTGCTCCCTTTTATATTATTTTGATTATCCGCGCGTTCCACTTCCGTACTTATTACGTTTCTCTTACGTTTCTCTTACTTCGTAAGTACGATTTCTGAAAACGTACGCTTCACTTGCAATATACGTATGATTATCTCACTCACTGTGTGCGACACAAGTACAGATCGTACGTGCTCCTTACTTCTTCCTACTTCCAAAAAAGGCGTACAGACCACTTGTGGGCCCCACGTTTACAGCACAACACACCTACTCATAAAGTACTTACTACTTCGTCCGCTGCGATTTAATTTTCATCCTGCGACAACGCTACGTCTGACAAGAACTCCGAGGACGCACGATCTCTAAGCACGCACGACGGGTTGTAAGAGAGGCTAAAGACAGTCCTAGGTCCGAGCGTTATGTAATCTTCCAACCCGGAAAATATGTATATATACAGTGCCGCCGGAATCTCATTCAGGGCAACGATAACAAATATTAGAGTCCCTGAATCTAGTTTTAATGATCGACTGTTTAGATAGGATCGATACAGTCATTTACTTGTAGTTTGCGGTACGCAGGAATCATTACGATTCCCTATAAAAAACTGGGCCTCTAAGATAGAAAGAGAGAGATCCCGGGAGATCGTCGTGATTGACCCTGCCTGCGTGCCAGCTTGTAGCCCGTCGGTGAATAAAAATCTACTTGATCTACAATTGAAGTCGTTCTGCGTTTTCAAGCTGCTACCCTCTCAGAAATAAGTAACCCACCGGGTTACACAACATTTTTTTCCGTTATACTTATTTCAGCCAAACAAGACAGCCGACGAAGATAGCTGCTGTTTACGTGGTATTATAATCGAGATCCAAGGCGACCGTTAACTGGACACACAATGATGATTGTGCGTAGTATTTACAGAGGCTGGATTATACTGGGAATTGCTGTGATATTATTCGTGTTGTTCTCGGGAATTGAGACGGCTTGGGGGACAACAATACTGTGTTTGCAACAGGACGAAGACTTTTTAAATGCGCCACTTGCACTGTTAGGTAAGAAACCTTTTTTCGAATACAAATATAAATAAATAAACAAACAAACGAAAAATGTAAAATCCAGATTCAGTTTATATGAACAAGATATAGTAAGCAGAAACCTTCAACTTATCACGGTTATTGTTACTGTCGCAGAGTGACCCAAGCATAATAAAAACAGCCACAGTAGCAACTTCGCAACTTTCAAAATAAGCCACGAATTACCGTCGGAAGATGTGTAGAATGAATACTTCTGTATTTTTTTTCAGGTGCTCCTCTAGCATTGTATTATTTCTCTCATTTTTCTGTGAGTAACTTTATCTACAAGGCGCTATCAAGAGTCGGACACTTGAGTCTACGGCAGGTGGCAGCTCTCGGAATATCTCTTATGGTGCTCGGCCTGTTTCTGACATCTTTTGCAAATAGCGCCTACTCTGTGACCATATCGTATGGACTTATATCTGGAAGTGGCAACGAACTATTTTCTTTAAGTATGTATTTGGTGATAGCACGTTGGTTCCCATGGACACACGACTACCACGTGTTTACAACAAGTGCATTAAGTGCTATCTTGCCCCTTGGTAAGTCCCTTTTTTTTCTCTTGCTGCTGCCCTTGCCAAAATAACGTACCACATTAAAGTTTATAAGAAACAAACATGTAAGAAATTTATACGTAAAACCAATGTTAGTCAAAAAAAATGATAGAAGACGTTTAGATAACTTATTTTATAGGCTAAGATTTTTCAATTTCTACACTTAGGTCCAATTTAAATTACACCTAATAATGATTTCGATCACTACTGTGACCTTCTTCTGTGTGTCTTATTCCGAGATTGAGCACTATGTAATAACTTGCCGGTAGTTATACCCTTTCTTAGAGTTGCTTTTTACCAATAAGGCAACTAAGACAGGCAGGTGGTTTATGGTTTATTTATTTGGCTGACTATAAACTCTGTTCCCTCTCTCTCCATCTCTCTCTCACTATATGTATCTTAATCCATGTCTCTATCTCACTAGGTCCATCTAACTGACATGCAACGTGCCATACTTTAATACATTACAACCTAATTGTAGATACAATTTACATTTACAAATATGCAAGTCGCATACATGATAATCTAGTCATCAGTGCTATTAATGGTTCACCACATGCAAGCTGTCATTTTTATATATTTTATTATAAATTAAACAAACAAATACGTAAATAACATGTATGCAGATTTAGATTATCATTACTAATAACGGTTCACTACAACTATTCACTAGTGCAAATGAAATAGTGTATATAACTGTTTTTAATTCATTTCTATGCAGCTGTGTTATTAATTCAATGATTGTGATAAATATAACTTCAGGCACATCAATTGTGAACAATGTGAATGCCCAGATGTGCGCAGATCCGTCACTAGGGTGGCAGTGGGCGTTCCGACTTTATGCAGCCATTTTTGGTTTCCTTGGTCTCCTGCTTATCCTGCTGTTCGGGAATCCACCAATGACGTTATCTGAAAATGATTGCAGTCCAACCAATAAAGAGTATGTGTTGTTTTAAGTTCGGAGCTATAACGAATTTTATCTAGTTGATGCGAGTTATGCTGGTGAATATTTATTATAAGGTGGAGCTTTAAATACAATGTTTAAAAGTCATGTAGATTAAATCCCATAGGGTTGATTCTGCTGTACACTTATACTCAAGCTTTCATTGGAAGACAACTTATTATAGTTTTTCTGTTATTAATTCATTTATTTTATAATTATAATATAAAATCTTGCTTACAACGACATACATCCAAAAAAAAAAACGGTTTTGAGTGAATATTTTTCAAGAATGAATATTCCCTCTGTAAAATAATTCTGAATGTGTATTTGCTATTCGTCATTTTACAATGAGCAAATCACATGCTTTTGAGTGAATGTCATAATTTTTATCTATTAGATCAAATTTTGTACACCCTTGGTCAAAGTGTTCTAAAGTTACCATTCACGGAATATGGTCCATAGCAATCTTCTGCAAAGGATATTCTTACTTCCTTCCTTTCGTTATTCTAGTAAGTATATTATGATTATTCAATAAGTATTTTTTGTAAATAATAATTTCTTATATAAAGAGTTTAAGAGGAGAAAATTTAAAAGAACTCTTCAAGGTTAATAGAATTGACTATAGTATCTATAGTATATAAGGCATCCATTTACGCCATAATTCGAAACATACCTGGATACAAACGAACTGCAGGTATGAGCTTGTATCTTACTTACATAAAGCTCGTTTGCTTACAGAAAAGACCTTAAGGAGTGCTTTAGTTGGTTTTAATTGTTTTTCAGTAAAATATGCCATTCACTGAGAACTTTCCTCCCTTTGAAAAAATGTAGAATTTCACTTTATTTCATACTTCTTTCAGCCAAAACATTTGACAGATCTCGGATATCAGGAAAACGAAGCAGAGTATGTGATGACATTTTTAGGAATAATGGGCGTGGTCGGACAGACGTTTTCTTCCTGGATCGGGGACCGCCTGAAGGGAAATTTGTTGTTGGTGAACCTTGTAGCGGCGTCATTACTCACCGTCAATAACATCGTTGCAGTGTACTGGACAACGTTGACCGCTGCCTTTGTATATAGTGCCGGTATGCGTTTTTTTATTTATTTTTAAATTAATGGTATTCTCGTTTTACTTCGTTTGATGGAACCAAGCTTTGTTCACTTCAGTAAATACTTTATGTCTGCTTCCAAAAGTAAGTTCGAGTTATCACTTTTAACACGCAGATTTAGGGACACTTTTTTAGTATCTAACCTTATGCACGTTATGTTTGTACCTTGAAAATATTATCCTTCACTACCCGTTTTGGTAAGTAATGTCCATATTTTATCAAGAACAAAATGTGGACTTAATTTCTGGTCTTAGGTCTAAGTTTTGGCCCATACGTCTAATATCAACATGCGTTTTAGTCACAGGTCTAGGTTTTGGCCCATACAACGCCGGGTACTATGCCATCAATTATGAGATCATGGACGGAGAGAATGTTGATACCTTATTCATGACAATGCGGTTTAGTAAAGGTATCGGAGCTGCTGTAGGGCCATATCTGGCAGGTTGGTTGAATTTTTACGAATTAATTACACTTGGGTGGGGAAAGCTTAATTACTGGATGGTTCCAATATACCCATTGCTTTGCAGTTCGAGTTTAGCCTGTTCACTCTTTTAAAACAGGACTTCTTTTTCTTGTGGACTTTGTACTTTGGCATTTGCCTTGAAGGTTTTCCAGTCGTCATATGCAATACAAATAACCAGAGAAGATGGATTTGATTGATGCTTTATAACAAATAACCAATTTCGCGCGTTGTTACATATTTGTTTTGTATTTTCATGTTTTTATATTTTCAGGACATGTTCGTGACGTCACCGGTAGTTACTACGTTGTGTTTATATCCATCGCGGCATGTTTAGGTCTGTTTGACTTAGCTACGTTCTTTCTTGTATGCGTCAAGAAGTTTAGAAAAATTGACAGTCTTGAACTGATGAAGAACAGCAGCTCAGCAGAGTGAAATCCAGACTTGACATTTAATATGGAATATTTCGGTTTCGAACGTATGCCTAGGTAAAAATGCATTCTTTTTCAAAAAAAAAACTCCGATCTTATATAAGATCTGTGAATGGAGAAGTGTGTAGTCAGGTGTGTCGCTACCAATTAACTGAATACCAGGTTTGTTGCGCTGCTGCATTATGTAATATGCAGTGATTCAAGCGGGTAGTGCTCCTTTGGGCTGGTCAAAGCTTGACATTGGCAAAGCATGGTTCTGTCAAAAAAGTACCCATACATCGGCAACTACTGCATAGAAGAATTTGAAATTTTGTATGCAAGTGGTCGGTTTAGCAGTGTGTAAAATGAGCTATCCAGTGCTTTACAAATTGTTAATCTGTGGCAGAATGGCGCAAAAAAAGACAGACATTGCCAGGCAGATAATTGGAAACGGTCCGATAAGCACAGTTTTATAGAATAATGCCAAGACTGATATACCTGCACAGAGGCCACGCCCAATGTAATGAATCTTTACCACCAGGGTACAGGACCCACTGTCTTTTGGGATATGCTGTTGCAACTAAAAAAATCCACCCAGTTCGTTCAGAATGAGGGGTAAATTGCTACCAAAAAGCATATATTCAAGGCCCTTAGCGAACACCAAACCCCCGAGGAACCCACTGTAAACAGCAAAATATCGTTGCATGTTTCTCTAATTAATTGGGGACCTTGGCCGTTTCTGGGTTGAACACTGAAACTTCGTGGCTTTCTTTATTGAGGTCAGATTTCACCTATACCGCTCAACTAGTCAAAACAGAGTTTACAGACATCCAGAAGAGGCCAACGACGAAACGTGTGCCGCGTCTAAAGTGACTTAGGTAATTAACAGCGTCAGTATTTGGAGTGCATACCACATTGATGCCAGTGGTAGTCATCAACGAAAACCTGAACCAGATGAAAAAAGGGAATAATCTTGGAACCACTTGACTATCATTTGAAAGGGGGAATCTTCGGAACACTTTTAGGTTGCATGGTGAGATTGCGATTCACACAGAGCACTTTTAATAGCAGATTACTTACAGAACCAAGGCAATGAGCAGCTACCTTGGTCATCAAAATCGCCATATTTGAACCACAAAAACAATATGTGGGCAGGCCATTACTCGCCCAATCAATGGCCTACATGTCCTACAACAAAACTGGACCAAATTGGACAGATTTTAACCGAATCGTGGAATGCTATTCCGGATTGAACTCTAAATACCTATCCCAAGGAATGCCTTGCCACTTCAGAGCGCTGGTAGCAGCCAGAAGAGGTCAGGTGTAACAGCGACCGTTACTGTGACTAGACACTGACATGAGGGTCCTTTTTGGAGCGTGTAACTCTTTTACAGAGAATAATTTGGAAAATATGGAGATCCAAGATATCTCTTTAGATGGCTGACATATGCCTTAGAATTGGCAATGTGTTTTTGTTTGCTTCTCTGGCGAATTCAATTAATGACCTAATGTCACCATGACATCAAACAGAGATAATTCAAAGTTATTAAAACACGAATTTAATACTTATTTTCATTTATCAGTCAGCAAAATAGGGAAAAACTGATGATAAATGATTTGGAAAAAAATATTCCATAGTAAATGTCAAGTCTGTATATGAAATAGACTTCATCGTTTGCATTAAAACCTTTTTTCTTAATGCCGCTCCGACCGGTGGCGTGCCGATTAAAGGGATAATTACTCTTCGTTTTGGCCCAAAAGTGAATTTTCCTTGAGTAAACAACAATTTCCCATACTAACCAATGGTTATTGAATCCATTTTTACATTCAAAGTTAGTCCCTGTTTTTCTAAAAAGTTATTTTTTGTTATAATCTCTTAAGCCATCAATGGAGGTCACGTGGTCTTAAGACAAACTCAGATTTCAGAATAATAGC